TTGATGTTATAAAGATTACCAATTCATTTCCAACCTCCGTTTTGGTTATTTCTCATTCAGTAACCCTTTCTAGGTTACAGCACTTTTATTAAGTATTGGACGATTTTCATAAAACATATTTTATTTTGAAAGGGTATATTGGTCGAATTACCGTGTTAAAATTATAAATAAATTGTTTGATCGATTCGTTTTTTTTTAAAGAATTATCAACCTTTTGCAGGTTATTCAAAGCCGGAAAATATTTTTTAACAACATTATATGACAGAGTTAGAAGTCTCACTATAGGTAAGCGATCTTCGGGTACTGCATTTTCATATATGGAATGGTCTCCGAAATAACATGGCTTGTAGGGGCGGACCCATGTTCAGTTATGGTGAATATATACTGGCATTGAAACGTAGAAGGAGACATTAAGTAGCCAAGATTTATCTGTTTTTTTTTACAATGATATTCACCCTGTACAAGTCCCAAGAGCCACTCGAGGTAGAAGCTTATAGAGTAAAACGAACCAAACTTAACAAAGAGGTAATGCCACCAAGTTTGATTGGGCCACCGGAAGTGAAAGAGAAAGAAACGCTTTAAAAGGAACCTAATCAGGAACTTAATCAGGAAACAAGGGATACACCTCTACTCCTGTTCAAAAGACCGGGGAGGTGTGTGAACTGGATGATAGACGAATCTATCTACTCCCATTGAGGATAAACAAGTAAATCTATAGTAAATAAAATTCCAGAATTTTAGGCGGAGACGTATAGAGCTGAAGTAGAATTTAGAAGAAACCGGAAATCCACTCCTACGCAGGAAATAAGAGATACACCTCTACTCCTGTTCAAAAGACCGGGAAGGAGGGTAAACCGGACGATAGGCAGACATAGCTACTCCTATTTGTGGAGGAGAGAAAAAAAAATGAAATAAGTAGGGAATAAAATTTCCGAGTTCAAGTGGAATGTTAGGAATCCAGATCTGGTCGACTTTAGAAGAAACCGGAAACTGATACCTGAACAGGAAACAAGGGATACACCTCTACACCTGTTCAAAAGAACGGGGAGGAGTGTAAAACGGACGATAGGAAGACCTAGCTACTCTTATTCATGGAGGGGAGAAAAAAATGAAATAAGTAGGGAATAAAAGTTCAGGCGCAGAATGTTAGGAGTTCAGATCTGAAGTGTGAAAAAATTTAAACATTTTTAAACGGCTTGATGTGGGGATGGATTAAGTGAATTTAGTTAATCCACAGTTTTTCATACCTATGTGAGAAGTCCAGTCTTTGGCGTCACTTCTTTGATTTTGATTTTTCATGTCTGTGAATTGTTAGTGAAAAAAAACATTAAATAAATAACAATTGAACCAATTGTTTTTTTTTATTTAGCATTTATGAAAAGTAACGATTTTATATCCGTATTAAAATACGGATATAAAATCGTTACTTTTCATAAATTATAAAATAGATAAATAAATTGAAATAATTCCAATATTTAAGTATATCACATGCATTTCATTTTTTTGTTAAAAACAAAAACAAAAAAGCAGCGATAAGGAAGAAGACAGGTTTTAAATGAAGCCAATTTGTCTTTGATATGGCTGGCTCAAAGCCAACCAGCAAAAAAAAAAAAAAAAAAAAAATGTCGCCAAAAGACACTGTCAGCTGGTGGGGATAAATCCCACTTACAAGACGTGAGCAAAAGGTATGAAAAAAATTTGAACATTTTTAAAGGGCTTGATGTGGGGTTGGATTAAGTGAATTTATTGTTTTTTTGTTTTTCTTTTAAAATAAAACAGAGGGTATATAAACAAAAACAAGTTATTTTTCTTTTAATATCGTAAAAAAGTTTTTAAAGTTTTCCCGATTAAGAAAAAAAGAAGTAAACGTCTACGTTTTTTACATATTCCCGGTTTTGTTTTGTTTTTTTTAATAAATAAATAAACACAATTGTACATTTTATTTCATAATTTAACAGTGAGGAGTTATAAATACCACGTTAACAGGACCACGGAAAAAAAACACCAAAAAAACCTGTCATCATTCTCAGA